GCACCCAAGTGTCCGGAGGGAGCCGAGGTGCCCGCCTCCCTCTAGCCGCGCTCACCCGCCCCTCGCGGCGTGGAGGGGCCCACTTGGGCCACTTCCTTTCTCCCTGCAAGAGACCCAAGCCCCTAACCCCACCCTGCGGCGCCCGCCTTCTTCCTTCGCGCCCGTGACACCTGGCGCCTGCACCTCCCGCCTGGCCCCGTGCTCTCAGCCCCCACCAGGGGCTCCTCTTCGAGCATCCCCAGCCTGGGCGCAGGTGGTACCTTCAGAGCCGCCTTCATCCTGCCCTGGGCAGAGGTGACGCCGCCCGGAGGCAGAGCGCGAGCAACGTCGGCGAAGCTGGGGGGTCCTGCGGCAGCGGGCGAGCTCTCTGGGGCTAAGAGGACGTGCGGGGGGGGGAGGGGGGAGAGCGCCAGCTTTCGCCTGCGCGGGAGCGGAGGTTTGTATGGAAGTAGGAGCTCAACCCTGTCACCAGCGCCTACCGCCTCTTGCACGCGTTCCCTTCCAGCGGAGCGGTGCGTGGTGCCATCCCCCCAGGAGCCTGTCACACGCTGGCGGGGGAGGGGAGATGCCTGGTCTCCGCTGTGCCACTTGTTCAGGGTGCTCCTCCTCGGTGATTTATTTGTAGGTGGGGGGCATGGATCCATCCCATTCTCCTACCTAAAATAACTTCCCTCTAGAGAAGTACGGGCTGCGTTATTAGTTGCTAAGTGGGAGCTCTCTGAGACTCAGGCAGGCTTCAAGCATGGTGCCACTTAACCTGAACCACTAAACTCCCCTTGCAAATCAGTGAAATCCTTGATGGGAGTGAAGTTTAAATAACCTGAATACCAAAGGAATGTCTCTTCAATTTATTTTGTAAATAAATTCCCAACTGTACAGCTAAATTATGTTCTGTTTCTAACTGGATTCAGGAAATATTTGCCTTCATCTGCAGTTCAAGAACTGGGTTTTTATTTCCACTGAAGTAGGAAATTTACACACACACACACATATACACACCAACCACTGCTGCTGCTTTGTTGACTGTAATTTGGAATCATAGTATTCCTTGCCAGATTTTTTCAAATTATTTCCATTTTTAGTTTGGTCTTCTACATAATGCCGTGCACCTTCAGAGTATCTGTACATGACTATCTTAGCATGTTTATCAATCACTTTACTTGGTTGCAAATATTTCTTCTTGCATTTAACAGCTAAGTTTTGCATTTTGGTTTTAAATAACCATTTCCAAACATATTCTTCTATTTTGACTTTACTGCTGCAAAACACACATCATGCCCGTGCTACAACCACAGCTTTGCTTCTAGTTCTATAAGTTGCATATATATAAGTTGTTCTTCCACTTTTTTGCACTAGCTACCCTGAGCACATCATTGTGAGATATAGTGTTAATATTTTATAACAGTCCTTGATGTCTTATTTTATTGTCCTCCTATCCAGAATGTGATCACTTTGGAAAAAGCAGTTTATTTGCAGTCCCCTCTATAGCTAATCAAAACTAGTCTTGGGGATCAATACAGGAATATTATAGCCAAAGGATACTCTAGTATTAGTGTAGGCACCATTTTAGTTGCCTAGGAACTGTCCTTGAATCTTTTTGATCCATCAAGTTCTTGTGCTATCACAAATCCTTGATATTTGTTTTACAATAGTGCCTAGAAGCTTCCATATCATATCTGGGTTATCTGCTTCAAACAGTATACAGGGATTCCACTTTTAATACCAAATATAATAACAAACCCAACACCTTCCTAGCATTTTCTTGATCCCTACTAATTATTCCTGTTTCAGAGTTTCACTTTTCTAGAAGTCATGTATTTTTGGTGCTAGCCTTCTAAATTTGACCCTAGTGTAACTATGGAAACTGTTTCTTCAGAGGTTAAAAAAAAGACTTCTGCCCATTTGCTAAGCACTAGCTAGCAGATCACTGTGGCCTGCCAGTCAGCTTCCCAATGGACAAGAATTCAGTATGGCAATATGGGAGTGTTTTCTAAGTGTAATGTATTTTATTTAGATATATATAAACCAGTCCTAGAACAAAATGGTCACAAATAGCAAACAGGTAATGTTTCAGGAATCTCAACTTAAAACTTGACCTCAAGAATTTGTTCCAGTCACAGATCAAGGCAGAGTGTGAACTTCTGTTCAAACAGTGCTTGACACAAAATTTAGCATAACAAACTTAACAGCATCATCCAGTTTATCTTCCCAAAACTGAATATTTTGCTCACACTCTAAAGGTGCATCTGTCTTTACAGAAGTGTGTGAATACATACACTGTGCATACCTCACTAGCACAGGTATAAATAGCAGCATAGGCAATAGGGATATTAAACTGTGTTTAAGTATCTGTGTAACCACTGGAAATTTCAGTAGTTACACAGTTACAAGTGGAGCAGCAGGAGGTCTGTGGGGGCCTGCTTTTAAGCCAGCTCCTACTGGCTCTGTGCTCCCGCAGCGCACTTCTGCCTCTGATACTTTTAGGCCAATTCCCCTTGCTTACCAGGAACCTGCATGTACCCATGAAGGTTAACTGAGGAGCCCAGGCTCATCGGTTAACCATGTACACGGTTACAATTTCACATCTGTAGTAGGCAGTGAGGCATAGGTTTTGATGAGAAGAGTACCCTGCACACCAGAACCTCTAGCATAAGCTCTGTATGCAGCTCCCTACATATCCAAGGAGTGCCTTCCATGACTATTAGCAAGGTAGTGTCCTTGTGTCTCCCCATTGTCAGAGTCTTTTCCCACTGCAGTGAAATGCTGTGACAGAATGGAGCCACGATGCATCATGAGAAAGGCCTGGGCACAGTTTGTGTTCCACTACAGCATGTAGCTACATATGGAGTGCTATTACCCTTCGCCCCTTAAAAAAAGAATTTGGGCAATTATGTATAGCATTGCCACCTGGTGACACCTGACATATATTGTTGGAAAAATGACACATTTTCATAGGAGCATTTTGCTAAACAGCAGTGAAACATTCTTATCTTTGCAACATGTGTATCCTATTGTGCAAGGGCTTTTAATGTTTTTTGGGGTTTTTTGTTTGTTTTTGTTTTGTTTTGTTTTTTGTCCCCATTGAAATGTATAGTGCATCAGCTGTGTTGAGAAAGATTCAATGGCAGGAGCATCTCATTTCCTGTTGCTTAAGCCAGGGGTAGATTGTTTCTTTACTTTTTTCTTCTCCCGGGTCTTTTAATGGGATGAGATAGAAGGCTGCTAGATCATCAGTTTTTCTTCCACCCCTCACATATGTGGTCAGGCTAATAGGGACCAATATTCCCTGTAAGCTGTGTGCTTGTGTGGCCACTCAGGAGAAATTCAAAATGCCATCCAGCTGATTAGCAGAGCACCCACAGATAGTTTTTTTGTTTCTACTGGTGGGCACATTCACACAGTCCTCAGTGCACATAATTTATTCTGCACATGGAGGGAAAGGATTTGAGGGAACATTGATAGGCTCTCCTTTTTCTTGTTTTCCTGAAGGGAGTGGAGTTCTTACATGCATTGCCTGGCTGGGAGAGAAATGATTTAACATAATTTCTTTGCTAGTCTTCCTGTCAATTCCATTTTTGCCTCTGCTGAGCTGTAAAGACTGTTCTGTACAAAACAGTAGCCCTGCGTGGAGAAGGAAACTGTCAAGACAATATTGGAGACAATGGCAGCAGCTTATCCTTGAACATTAACCTCTGCCACCTACGACAGAACAAAAGTTGAGAGTGACAAAGATGCTGTTATCACATCCACTGAAATGACTTCCATGCTTGCATTGCTGCTACTAGCTTTGTTCTGTTTTTCAAGCCTTCACTCTTTTCAGTTTAGCTATTTAAAGTACATAGCTCATGAAAAAGAAACATAAAATCCCTAACATCTTTGTCTATCATGACAAAATGATGTACATTTATTGACACTTTTCTTTGGATGATAACATATTTCCATGCCCAAATGAGCTTAAATTACAAGGGCCTGATCCGTCTGTATTGAAATCAAAAGGAATTTAACCATGAACTTCAATGAACTGGGATAGAGTTGATAATGTTTATCATGGAACTCTGCAAACTAGGCTCAATTTATTCTTTTCTATTGCTCTGTGCCCAATGCCATGAATATCTTCATGCAATATCCTGCCACGGAGACCAAGCAGCAGATTAAAGTGCTGCCTTGCAACAGTTAGAATCCCTTGTGGGCTAGTTGCTCCTCTACCATAGTTTTGTCACCTGCTGACAATATAATTTGGGGGCTTCTCCATGGAGCTGGGAGCACTCATGCATGGGTGGTAGGGTTTACTGATACCATTGACACCTGTACCTTTTGTGTCAAGAGGGAGAACCTGGTGTTTACCCACATGCAATATGCAAGGTTGTACTCCCTCTTCCAGAACTTCTTTTATGGCCCCACAAAGTCTAAACACCTCCTCAACAACCTCCTGATACTGACCCAGTAGGTATCAATTAGCCCAGGAGAAAGAAATGGGATATAGTGTGAAGTGGTCTACAACTGCGGGACCTTTCTCTTGTCCTCCA